GGCCTAATGATCCACATAGGAAAATCCAAGTGGATGAAGCCTATTGCCCGGGCTATATATCTTGGACAGACATTACAAAGGGGCAGTAAGCTTAACTCAGAATGAATAGGAGTGTGAATTGGTATGCTCTTGGGAAATCGGGCCATTCTTTTAACAACCCCAAGTTTCTCCCTGAAATACATGCCTGCCTTTTAAACACCAATATTCTTTTGGTGGAGGTGTATGGTGATAAGTGGTTGAATACTAAAGTGTCTGAAGAATTTAAGTTGAAGATCACCCCCAAAAAAGGAAACACCAGGTGGGCCTGGGTTGGCTTCAGCACATTACAATCTAAGAATTTTACACACGTGACAAATGAATGTCATCCGAGAAATGTATGATGGAGGTAAAAAAGGCCTATTAATCTGGGGAGAGATAACCAATGAACAGTTCATGTTCTTTGCTGATATCTGTACAGCATCAAAAGGAACACCTACACCAGGTTGGGTGAACCCTCTGTGGCATATTTACAGGAGTACATAGACGTGAGTTTCACAGGATGGGGGCAGTGTCATTGTTGGAGGAAGGATCCCATCTATGAAATCACAGATCCATTGGAGCAGGTGAACTGCCTATAATTTCCTGCCTCCATATGTATTTACCCCATTGTTTCATTGGTTCTTGCTATGCTTTATACTCTAGGCCCAGACATCCGGAGCTGCTGGATTCATGACTGCTCCCCTTAGTGATGATAGACAACTAGCACGGGGGTGGTTTCTAGTACTTGGTGGAGTTGAAAGGATGTGGTCCTTCAGGCTGATGCCAACTTGCTATGTTCATCTTTCAGAACTGATGGAGACCTTCAGTTGGCAATGTGTCATCACCCAGGCTCCAGGGTCCAGATGAACCCCTGTGGTGGCAGCAAGTTGAGAAAACTCTTTGCCAAACTTGGCACGTCAAGCTACTATATAGCCAAACCTTGGACCTCATCTGTTGCTCCCTCTTTCAGGCCTTTGGTTTGGCTCTTGGCTCTTACCCTGCTTGTGCTGGGGATGCTGCTTACCACATCTGTCTGGCTCCCTGACTGTGTTTCCAGTTATTTGACCTTGATTGAACAATGATTTAGTGTCCTTTCTGTGCCAGGAACATCCTGGCATTGTTTCTTTGCCAGGGCCATAAAACCCACCCAGTTGTGGCCTCACCTAGGGTTGTGACTAGAGGAAACTATGCACCAGGATAGTGTGCATGTGCACCTACCTCAGAATTTGTCCCCATTCACTGGTGCACATGGGCATAAAGCTATGCAGACATTGAGCCCATAGAATCTAGAGCATGTAATTTCCACTCCTAAGTAAGGGCTTTCCTTTGTTTTATTTTTAGGACTTTAAAAACTGTTGTCAGATACCCAAGAGGGATTAGGCTTGTTCTTGGCCTCAGGAGGCAGAATTAGGAGCAGGGGAAGGAGGGTGTGTGGGGGGGGGAGGGAAGGGGACAAAGCTATAGGGAAGGAGATGTTTGCTCAGCAGGAGGAAATGAGGAAAAACTTGACCATGAGAACTACCACAATGGAATGAGCTAGTTTGGGAAGAAGCGAGTTATAACATATTTAAGTAAAGACTAGAATGCTATCCAGGGAATTCCTACTCTGGGTGAAAGTTAAACTAGGTGCCTTCTGATGCTCTTGAGGGTTTGTTTTGTGATGGGGCTGGAATGAGTAAAGATAGTAGGGGCTCAGACAGTGCAAATAACTCTTCCTCCCCTTCCAGAGCAGATGGGGCGCATCCTGCAGCGTACGGCCATCTCCACAAACATCAAAGAACGACTGGACTTTTCCTGTGCTCTCTTTGGGCCTGATGGGGGCCTGGTGTCCAATGCACCCCACATCCCTGTGCATCTTGGTGCCATGCAAGAAACCGTGCAGTTTCAGGTCTGAGCAGACTCCCTTCTCTTCCCTCCTCCTTTGGTCCCTAGTCTCCCATGCCTGCGGCAGACACGGGGACTGTATAGTCTTCTTGTCTCAGCTACCCTTTCTCTGGCCTTCCCCCATTACTATAAAATCCCATCAACTCTATCCCTCACTAACCCCTCTGTGCCTGGTTACAGATCAACCATTTGGGTGAGGATCTACAGCCTGGGGATGTAATTCTGAGCAACCACCCGAAAGCAGGAGGTAGCCACCTGCCAGACCTCACAGTCATAACTCCGGTGAGAGGGGAGGTAGATGAGGCGAGACACATCAGGGTCATCACCATGGGGTGGGGTGGATGCCTGCCCCTTGGGAGGACCTGGGCTGCCCTGAAAGATCCAGGGTCTGCCACTCATATTTGTGTCACTTTGGGCGAGTCACTTAACTTCTGGGCCTCAGTCTGCATCTATAAAATGAGAGGTTGGTTGTGATGACCCTGATGTCTTACTCCAGCTCTAAATCTGATTCTTCCCGCTTCCAGGTGTTCTGGCCCGGTCAGCCCCGCCCTGTGTTCTATGTGGCAAGCCGAGGGCATCATGCCGATATAGGAGGCATCACGCCAGGCTCCATGCCACCCCATTCCACAGCACTGCAGCAAGAGGGGGCCGTCTTCTTGTCCTTCAAGCTGGTTCACAAGGGCATCTTCCAGGAGGAGGGTGAGGAGGGGGTGGTGGTGGTGAGGCGGTACCCTCCAGGAAGGTGGGGGCGTCCAAGGATCACTTGGAGACCACTAGTCAGCGTTTTCTTGGGAAGGGAGCTTAGGTGCATTGTCTAGAGAAGGTGAGGTACTAGAGAAAAAGGGATGAGAGAGAGCAGATCAGCCAGTAATCCCCATGCTTGCTTCTCTCCTCCTTGTCTCACTCCCTTTCTCTCCCTTCCCCCAGCTGTGACAGAAGTCCTGAAGGCTCCAGGAAAGATTCCTGGCTGCAGTGGTACCCGGAATCTTCATGACAACCTGTCTGACCTCCGGGCCCAGGTGGCAGCCAATCAGAAGGGGATCCAGCTGGTAGGGGAGCTGATTGGCCAGTATGGACTAGATGTTGTACAGGCCTACATGGCCCACATCCAGGTGAGAGCAGGACTTGAGGTGTGGGCTGTGAGGGAGTCCCACTTCGGTGCTGTTCATTTACATTCATTCAACAAACCTTACTGAGCACCTGCAGAGTGCCTGGGCCCTGGGACTTGGGAGAGAGGGTAGAGGTGGTGAGGCTAAGATCTATAAAGCTGAGGGAGGGGAGGAGGAAGAAGAACCCAAGCAGAAGCTGGGTTACAGAATCTGCCAGGAGCTGGCTAAGTCTTCTGGGTGGGGATCAGTGGGGAAGCATAGGGTGGTCTCTGAATGATGTCTTCTTCTCTAGGCTAATGCGGAGCTGGCTGTTCGAGACATGCTCCGGAACTTTGGGGGAGCCCGGCAGGCACAAGGGCTGCCCCTGGAGGTGAGCGCAGAGGATCACATGGATGATGGCTCCCCCATTCGCCTTCTAGTGAAGATCAACCCAGTACAGGTAGGACCAATGTTGAGGGAGAGGTGAGGGGCAGGTGTGTGGGCTCAGCCTAGAAGTGGGGGTTTGTGCTTTGGCTAGGGCTGGTTGTGTTCTGTTCTAGTAAGGGTATTATATGACACATAGTCCTCTGACCCCAGGGCAGCGCCATCTTTGACTTTAGTGGCACAGGCCCAGAAGTGTTTGGCAACCTAAATGCTCCCCGAGCCATCACACTGTCAGCTCTCATCTACTGCTTGCGCTGTCTGGTGGGCCAAGACATCCCTCTGAATCAGGTGGGTCACCTGCATGTGTAACATCCTCTGAACCGTGTGTGTGTGTGTGTGTGTGTGTGTGTGTGTGTGTGTGTGTGTGTGGACCCAGGGGTGTGTTTGGGGGTCACTCCCTACACTTCCTCTCCTCAACCCTCCAGGGCTGTCTGGCTCCAGTTAAGGTGGTGATCCCTCAGGGCTCCATCTTGGATCCATCTCCAGAAGCCGCTGTGGTTGGGGGCAACGTGCTGACCTCCCAGCGGGTAGTGGATGTCATACTGGCTGCCTTTGGGGCCTGTGCTGCTTCTCAGGTCTGGGGAATGCCCAGGGATGATGAGTGCAATGGGATGGGCTGGGTGGCTCTGGCTTGGTCTCCTCAAGCCAAATTCCTTTCCTCATTCCTCAGGGCTGCATGAACAATGTAACTCTAGGGAATGCCCACATGGGCTACTATGAGACAGTGGCAGGGGGTGCAGGAGCAGGACCAAGCTGGCATGGGCGCAGTGGGGTTCACAGTCACATGACCAACACCCGCATCACTGACCCTGAGATCCTGGAGAGTCGGTAAGTGTGTGTGATACCGTGGGCAAATACCCCAAGGAGGTGGGTGAGATGGAAGAAGCAGACTGAGCCCCTTTGTTCCCCCAGGTACCCAGTGATCCTTCGTCGCTTTGAGCTACGGGAGGACTCGGGGGGAAGGGGCCGCTTCCGAGGCGGGGATGGTGTGGTAAGAGAGCTTGTTTTCCGAGAAAAAGCCCAGCTGTCTGTCCTGACTGAGCGACGAGCCTTCCAGCCCTATGGGCTCCATGGTGAGACCCCTCCCTCCCAACCTCCTTCCTTCACCCCCCTCCCAAGTTCCACAGCTTTATTCTACTTGGGGTCATTCCTTACAATTGGTGACATTGGTGGGATGACCAAAGGGGAGGGGCTGGCAACGAGTCAAGGTCACACTTTGCAGAGTGACACAAAGCCCAGCTGTGACAAAAGATTTTGTTGTCATTTCAAGAGTTGGTCCTGCCTTGGAATGTTCCCTTTCCCCTAATTCCTTCTTGTGGTTTTTTTAGGGGGAAAACCTGGAGCCCCGGGACTCAATCTGTTAATCCGAAAAGATGGACGGACCATCAGCCTGGGGGGGAAGACATCTGTGACTGTGTTCCCTGGGGTAAGGGACTCAAGAGAAAAGGAGGCAATAAAATTTAAGGGGACTGTTCAGTAGCCCAAGGAAAGAGAATATACCGAGGGCTGGGGGAATTGGGGAAACATCACCCTCATCCCCAAGCACCCACAAAGTGAGCCTTAGACCTCAGAACTGCTGGTGTTTATTGTTTAATTTGGCTCCATTAAGGAAAGGGAAGAGTATAAAAAAGGAGCCCCCAGAATAAAACTGGAGGAAAAGGTGGGAAGGAAGGTTCATCTTCTCTCCCCCAGGCTCAGGCTTTTCTTTCTGTATCACTTTAGGATGCCTTCTGCCTGAAGACACCTGGTGGAGGTGGCTACGGAGACCCTGAGGAGCCAGCCCCCGTCTCTGGCTCCCCACCCCATTCCACCTGCTTTCCTGAACGAGGCAGCGTCTATGAGTACCGACAGGCACAGGAGGGTGTGTGAGGGGTGGGGTGGTGAGCACCCTGTGGGGCAACAATAAAGATCCCTGAAGTTGCCCCCATACCAGAGAGGTGGGGCCAGGGAGGAGCCAAGGTCACAGTTTGCTGCTTTCATTGTTCAGTCTGTTGGTCCTTCTGTAGGTTGGCCTTGCCTGGGTCTGACGTCCTGGGCTCCGTGGTCACCTGGAGCCGTAGCCCTACAGCCAGATGGTCAGTGAGGCCTGCCAGGCCTGTGCTGAAAGTCACTCGCTCTACGGTCTGGGGGGAGGTGGAATTCGACATGAGGGAAGATTCCTCTTCTCTTCCTCCCTCCCACAGACCATCAGAGCTGGGAGGGAGGAACTTTAGAGGCCATGGCATCCAGTTCCCCCATTCTCCAGAAGGAAATTGCCTCTGGCCTCACAGTATAAGTGGAAAATCTAGTGTTATCACTTCTGTTCCTCAGATTGCTACCTCTGCACTCCCTTGGGCACTTACTGGAATGAGAAGGGTATTAGGCTCTCTCCTATATAAGATATAATCTATTCTTCTGCCCTGCCAGGATGTCGAGGGGAGGGTCCCAGGGAGAGGACGTGCAAAGTACATACTTCTCCCATCCTCCTGCTCCAGAGCACTAGAGGAATAAAGAAAGGAAGGACTGGTATTATTAGGGAGGAGGTGGTGCTGCAGCATTCAGACCCCATCCCAGTGACACTTGCCTTCTCAGTTGCTCAGGAGAGCAGGCCACTGGGCAGTGTAGCGTTGGCGCACTCAGCAGGGTTCCTGGGGACCAGGGAGGAATATGAGGTCCAGAGCACACCTTGCTTTCCTTTGGTCCCCTCAGGACCAGGGGAAGGAAGGATAAGCCTGGGGCTCCAGGGTAGAAGAGAGGGATGTCTTGGCCTCCTCCAGTTGATAAAGGGTGGTGTGGGGACCCCAGTTCCCTGCCCAGGGATATTTTTGTTGGTGGAAGGGGAGGATGGCTCCTGTCCTAAGATTCTCCTGCCAAGGCGATAGGGCATGGCGATTCAGACCCTGGCTCCTCCTACCTATAGCCCAGGGCTGTTCCTGGCCTGGCCCCAACCTACAGGGATCTGTGAAGTGGGTAAACAGTTCATGCTCTTGTTCCTGGGCATCATCTTTAGGAGAGAAGGGAGGAAAAGGAGTGATAGCTTGGTTGGTAGAGGGCTAACTGCCTTCCCCCTTTCTCCCTTGGCCTTTGCCCCATACCTGAAGAACAGTTGTCAAAATTAAGGTCACCCATAAGTACACTGAAGGCAACAGCATCATCCTCCTTGTTACTCTGTGCTTCAAACTGCTCAGCCCAGCCCAGCAGGAGTGAAAGCTGCTCACAGCGAATGGCCCAATCCTCTGGGGAAGGCAGGCAATGGGCCACGGGACCTGCTGCCCTTTCCTCCCCTTCTCTCCCAGCCAGATCCTGTAATCCTGTAGAGACTTGGTAGAGAAATAAACTACGCCTGGAAACTGGGTGGTAGGGGGTAGGAAGGACAGAAGGACCATGGAGGAAAGTGTGAAAGGGAAGAGGGCTGTCTAGATAGAGAGGCCATGGAGGACAACAGAGGACGTGACTCAGTCAGTTGGCGGGGAGGGGCTGGGCTTGGAGGAATGGCAACTGTCAAGAGGGGTTGACCTTGGATCTCAAAATGGGGGGAGAATAAGAATAAGAAGAGCAAACCACCTTCTAGCCGGAAATGGGGGCGGGGGGAGGCAGGGACTTGGGTTAAGGGAAAGGTTAGACAATAGTTATTAAGATCAGAGCTGCTCAGATAACTGTCACCTCAGAAGTGCCAGCCCCTGTGTCAGCTGATGTGTGTTGGTGCTAATTTGTCTAGCAGCTGCAAGAGGAAGTGAGGACCTCCTAAAAGACGTTCTAGCCTTGGGTTCTGGCTCACCCTCAGGGGCGTGTAGGTGGGTACAGTGCAGGTAGCCCACAATCCTCCGCCTGTCCAGCATGCCCAGCTGCACCTGTAACACCATGGGCATTGCCATCTCTCCCAGGGCCTAGGTCAATCTGTGGCCCCTGCCCTTGACCCACAAGTGGCCCTTAGGAATACTGCATACCTGAACAGAGAGTAATCCCTTAGAGGCAAGTGCATCCTCTCTCCGGCCATTAGGAAAGGGTAAGAAGCGGGCACTCAGCATGGGGTATCGGGAGACCAGCAAGAGCCCACTACCCAGGAGTTTGAGCTGAGGCCCTGAATGGAAGCCAGTGGTCCCCACATCATATATCACAGGGCCGAGGGCGGTTGCCAGGCGCTGGGCCAGCCTGCTTGCTGCCCGTACATCGAATGTTTCCTGAAGGCACACAAAGTCCAGGCTACCGGGTAGGGCTGATATCAACTCCCCTACCAGGGAACCAGTCTGGGGTGGACTGGAACCTGTGGCCCCATAGCTTGGCCCTTTGGCTCCTCTAAGAAGGGCAGTGCCCATCCACTCTGCCCGCTTCTGACTGTGCTGCAGGTTGCTGAATCGGGCAAGACCATCGGGCAGCAAGCAGAGGTTGGCGCTGAGAAAGCCAAAGCTTCGGTGTGGGTCTGATAGGGGATACCAGGGTGAGGGAGGTGTCCAGTTGCCAGGTGGTGGCTGGTAGCAGAAGGGGCGTCGACAGTACTGCAGAGGTAACCAGAAAAGCAGGCCCAGGAGCAGCAGGGGTAGAGCTGCTAGCAGCAGCAGCAGGGCAGCTAAAGCTCCTAGCAGGGTGACCAGAAAATGATACAGCCCCCTTGGGAAGGGAGTACAAAGGGGGAATGGAGTGCGGGGAGTGGGCACACAACAGACCAGAAGCCTGTCCAGGGCCCAGTAGGCAGGGAAGAGCAGGGCCCGGGCCAGGCTGTGCAGAACATGCAGGGCAGGGTGGGGGAATGGGGATGACCGTAGCCCTCCCAGCCTCTGAGGCCAGCTGGCTGGGGGTGAACCAGGGCTCAGGGTCTGCATTGGGGAAGGAGAGGGGGAAGGGACCCTGCTCGGAAGCGCTTGTCTCACAGGCAGAGAGGGGGCTGCCCTGCCTTCCTCAAGACCAGGCTTGGCTCTGCCCCTGGGCTTCATCTTTTCCCCGACCTGGGGGATCTGGGAGAAGGCCGATCATCTGTCCAAAGGAGTCTGCAAGGCAGAGGAGTGGTAGGGGCTGACCAGGGACCCTGGAGAGCAGAGACAGGGAGTAGAACCAATGAGAGGGTTGAGGAGGGGGCTCCAGCAAGGGGACTGGAGAGCCAAGGCGGGATAGGCATGAGGGTCGGGAAGGAGGTGCCGAGGACACATCCCTCTCCTTACCTGGATTTGGAGGACCGCGGCAGCGGAAGTCGGAAAATGGAAAGAGAAAGTGGAGACGAGAGCCCGCCCCCGCGGCTCTCCCTCGGTCAGGCAGGTCCCGCCCCGGCCAGATAAGGCTGGAAGCTCGGGGGCCCTGGGCTGACCGACCCGCTGCTGCAGGGGCCAGCCTGGGTGTAGGAAGGCAGCCCCCAGGCTTGGGTGAGGATGGAGCCCCGGACACGTTCTGTGCGGACACCTACGAGCATCGCGCTGTGCTTGGGTTGCAGTCCTAGCTTTATGACTGCTATGGGACCAAACAGCCCTTTAACCTAGAGTAGCGAAGGTGGATCCTCTGTGGATGAGGACTGCACCTGAGATACCATGGGCACAGCACATTCCCGCTATCAAAGTGGGCATCACTTCAGCCACTTAAGGGTCTGAGGGAGGTCTCTGGAGCCCTGGGGTAAAGAAACTTGCCCAGGGTCACACGGTGTATGTCATAGGAGGGCAGCACGTCTTCCCGTTTCAAAGGCTAGCTCTCTAGCCACTGTGCCAAGCAGCCTCTCTCCATCTTATTATTCCATCTGACAGGGGGCTAAGACTGGGATCGGTCTCTAACGCTGCCTCCTGGACAGCAGCAGGTAAAAGAAAACAGGAGAAAGGAGGAATAGGTGCTACCAGGGTGGATTGAGGAGAGGAAAAGAAACTAGTCGGGAACCTCTGCCAGTCCATGCCACGGGCAGATCTTTGTGTTTTGGGCCTGGGGCTGAAAGACTCTGATTTTGAAGGTACTTGCATTAGAGGTAGGTAGGGAGCAAACTGACTGGTACATCTTTTCAGTTTCAGAAAATTATGAAGCCTTGGGGTAGGTTTGTGGGTGTTACCAATTTATCTCTCCAGTTTATCAATTGTAATCTCATGCTGCTTATCGCCAAGGAAAAAAAGGGAAGAGGAACCGGTTAGGTCTGCAAAGGCCTCCAGTAACAGAATGCAACTCCACCTCAAAGTTAAATAACCAAGCCGGGTCAAGCCCACTTGTGGCTAGAGTTAGTTATTTACAAATCTGACCTCTGTTAACTTGCATTCTTTTCACAGACATTTATTGAGGTTTGCCATTCTGCACAACCCTAGGTTGGGAGCAGAAGGGGTCTTATAAATGAATGACAGTCCCTGACCTCAGGAAGCTTATAAGGACAGGGTAAGAAACACAACTATACAAACAGGTATGAGGGATAGCACACTGATGAGTAAGCAAATGACTGTGGAGGTTCAGACAGATCGTAACTGCCTGGAGGGATCTTATCTAGCTGAAGGGATCACCTCACAGAGATCTCATTCACTCACCTAGCTTCAATTATGACATTTGCAATTAGGCATTTATGCAAAGGACTCCCAAATTTTTTCAGCCCTGATCTCTAGACCTAAATTTCCAAATGCCTATTGAACATTTCCACTTAGATTTTCTGTATGCTGGCTCACCTCAAACTCAACAGGTACAAAACCAAACTCCCTCTTTATCCAGGTTGAAACCTTAGTGGTATTATCTGGGAATCCTCCCTTTCCCTCCCTTCACACATTCATTGTTTCCAAGCCTTGTTTATTTGGACTCTAGAATATCTTTTTCTTCTGTCCCCCTCTTTATTCCTACCTCCAGAATCCAGGTAAAGGCCCTTTTACTACCTGGTCAGTCTATTGCAATGTATGAAAGATTCCAGCACAAGCCTGCAGAAAAGGACCTGCTCTATTTGCTTTAGTCACTAAAGTGCCCAGGCCTGCTTTCTAAATAGGGGGTCAGCAGAAGGAGCTCACTCCATAGCAGTCAGGGGATGCTGTCATTAGTGATGCCTACCTTGTAGCCCACTGTAGCTCACAGAGCCACCTTGGTTTCAGTAAGGATTTTTATTGAGTGGGAAAAAATCAACTCAAAAATAGAAGTAAAGGGTGACTGAAAGTGTTTACAAAATATTTCTATCACATCCCCACCAATTAACTAATCTGTCTTAAAACAAGAGGTCCAGGCTGCTGTGATTCAGTGAGGCTCAAGTTGAGTCTGGATGGTTCCACTGCTTAATTCCATTCTAGCCCAGATCCAGAATATCCTTTAAGCTGAAATCTAAAACCCGGTGGGAGTGAGTCTATCTTCCCCTTCCCCTCAAGTGACACTACATCCCTGCTCTCAAGACTTTAGAAGGACGTTGGAGCACTCATCATTCTTTGTTTCCAATGAGTTCAAAGCGTAATACAGAACCTGTCAATCCAGAAGTCTCAGATGCCTTCTCCAGGTTGAGAAGTCAAACCTTTCAGGTCTAGTTTTTCAGCTCACTAATTTACTAAGCAATAGAAATATCTCACACTTTTATAACAGAGTATGTTTTTCAACTTGGTGAAATGGGTGTTATGAGGATTATTTTTCTCATTTCACAGATAAGGGAATTAAGGCTTAGGAAAAGTTGACTTTCCTCCAAATCACAGTTTGTGATGTTCAAAGCTGGAATTCAAATCTGTTCTTTCCACACCTGGCTCTTTTTTCATTACTTGTTACTTTTCATCCTATGTGACTTCCACTGAAGAAAAGAGGGAAAAAGAGAGACAGAGACAGATAAAAGAAAGAAAGAAAAGAGAGAAAGTGAAAGTTTTCCCAGAGAAAAGCAAAGCCCCAAGAGGACTTAATGCCTCTAAATTGAACTAACCATTCACCATTCCCTTCAATCAAGGGTGGGAGGGAAAGTCAATTCTTCAGCCTAGGAGGGTTTAGCTGATGTGGGATTAATGTTTGGATGGTATGGGAAAACAGAAAAATGAGAGAACAATTGAGTCACATTGCAGAGGTCTCATGGCTGATAAATCCTAGAGGATCATAAGGCCAGAGGTGAAAGAGACTTTAAGGACTGTCTAGATAATTTGTTACTTGGAACTTTCACTCATGACTATGTCTTGATGAATTCTCCAAAGGGCTGAATCTTTTCAGAAGCCAATTTGGGTCCTGATTCTTTTTGTCAAGCTTTCTTAGGTTCTGTTCTAGTTTGAAGAAGATGGGAGGAAGGGGGGACTAATCTAATTCTCAGCTCTAAGGTCTCCTTCCATCACATAGAAATGTGGGTCATGGGAGTGACTAAAGTAGGGGGCAATCATTTATTCTTAGAGAGCTGTGGAAGATGACAGGAACTATGAGCAGGAGAAAGGTGGAGAAGGGGATAGAGGGATTGTTTTATCAAGACATAAATACCCTGCTGACTCGCCCAAAGGCACACAAAAATTTCCTGTCTTCCCCATCCTACCAACAATGCCCCAAGTCTGGAGCTTCTTGAGGTTTAAGCTAGGCCTAAAACGGCACAAAAGGCAACTTTGGGAAAAGTACCATTTAGACACTGAAGTCAATCCCATTGTCAAACCCTGAGAGGGTGGTAAGAGATAGAGATGGATGGTAACTCTAGCAGTGCCCTCTTTACCTGCCTCTGATGAGAATTGGGTACCAAAAACCCAGGAATACTGAGTCCTTGCCTAGTAATTAATAGCTTTAATACCAAGCTTTGCTTGGTGGCTGGGGGAGCCTGGGGTGGGGAGGACCTTGCCCATGGTAACATGGCCATGCCCAGGGCCCAATAGGCAGTTCATCAGCATGAGGGTGGGGCTGGTGCCAGCACTTGGTGTTCAGCAGATCTCAGTCACCAGATGAACATAGGTTTGCCATCATCATGGGAGAGTTGGTTGAGGCAGGAGAGAAGAAGGAGGGCATCAGTGAGCACGCTTTGGGGCACCGTCTCTATGATCACCCGCTGGAGGAAGTCCATGGTGTAAGAGTCACCTTCAGAGGCTGCCAGCTCAGGCCGTTCCCTCAGGATGCCATAGGCATTAACCAATTGCTCCGTCAGCCCTGGGTGGACCCGCCCATTGTAGCCCAGGCTCTGCAGCCGATTCATGACACTCACGTAACGTTGAGTGAGCATCTGGCACAGCTCTTCATCCAACTTGTGATCTGAGGTGTTCAAGGAGGCCTGGGAGGGGGGAGAAGGGGAAGGTAAGGGGAAACTTCAGAGGGGTGGTGTCTGGAGGACCTGAGAGGGAAGAGGAAGAGGGAGGTCTGGGAGGAGAGAAAGGAATGGTAAGTTAGGGAAGTCTGAGGGGAGGGGAAAATCAGGGAGGCCTAAGGGAAAAAGAGAGGGGACAAGGAAATCTGAGGAAAGAAAGGGCTTGGGTTAGCCTGGTAGTGGGGAGAAGAGGAGGTTTCAGGGTGACTTGGATGAGGGGAAGAGGGTCAGGAGCAAGAAAATGCTAAGGACACATTTCTGTGTCTCAGTTCATTAGGTCTGACAGGAGAGGCCTGTGGGAACAGGGAAGGCTGAGAGATTAGAATCGACTACGGCAGAAGGAGTGTTAGAGCTGGGTGTCCCCTCAACTGGAAAAGTGGAGAATTCGACTTGAAGGAAGCATAGATAAAATAGGAAAGCTTTAGAAAGATCAATAAAAGCCCACTGACTTTAACCCCCTAGGTTTCCCCACTCAGGTGAGGTGACAAACTTTTTTTTTCCTCCTGCCCCTCTGAGTTGGAAAACATGGAGACAGTATAGTGGGAGAAGAGGGCCAAGAGCCCCGCTTTAGGGGGTCAGGTGAGGAAGGCCCTCCTGTTTAGTGCTGTGACCTAGAGGAAGATCCGTAAAGGAAACTATGGAAGTGGAGGAGGCTATGAGGCAAATTGCAATTCTGAACCTGATTCGAATGGTTTAGGAGCTGCTAGAGTAGAAATGATGGGGAGCTTTGGGGGGGAATATGAGCACTCCATAAAGTATGTTATTTATGTAGCAGATAAAGCCAGTCCTAGTCTGAGGTCCATCTTAGATTTTGGGATAGTGAATTTCCAGAAATTCAAAGAAAGGATAGGGAGGATCCTGCGGCCTAAAATTCTACAGGAGAAGTCAGCCCAGAAGAGTTAGGATGCCCTTAAGAATGAAATTCTGGTAACATAAAGGATTGTGATGAGGAAGGGAAGGGGAAGCGATTTAAGCAGACCAGTGTAGATACACAAGAAACTGACGGACTCCTTAGGTTTCTAAAAGATTTGTGCAGCGGATGGGAGTAAGGAGAGCTAAAGAACTAAGGAACAAAGCCGGATGGTGGCATGAGAAGAGTGTCAGGAATGTTTACATTCAGAATAAGTAGAGACAGTGATGGAAGCTTAAGACAACGAGCAGGATTTTTAAATATTTCATTTGTTTTCTAGTTAGGTTAGGGGCAAGAGCTTCCATGATGAAATAAATAATAAGGACCCTGGTTCTGGATTGATGGAATTACAATGATAGTTCAGGGGGAGAAGGGAGAACTATTCAATTCAACTTTCTCTTTTCCCTACCAAAAAAGAATGATCTTTGGATTGGGAAGGATAAAACAACAATGGTTAACAAGAGGGACATTAAAACCCAAGGTAAGAGAAGAGATGGTGAGAAAGCACCTAGTCACCCTCAATGAGTCTCGGGTACCAGGCTCAGATGAATAGACTGAAAGTTTTGGAAAGCCACCTTGATACATTTTCTCTCATTTGGGCCTTACAACAATTTTATGAAGTATGGGTATCAGCCCCATTTTGTGGATTAGAGGTTGAATGACTTGCCCCTCATCACACAATGTGTAGCTGTCAGAGGCATGAGTCAAATGAGCTGGCTGCTGAGATTCTTTTCAAAGCTAGAATTCTGTGATTCTATGAGTGCTAATAGAGTAATGAAAGATCTGTTGTAAGACTGCTGAGTCACTGTTTGTAAACTCTGAAAAAATTCTGGAGAAAGGGAGAGGTGCCATGGGACTGGGAAGTAACAAATGTACCAATTAGTGAAAAAGATATTCTGTCTAGTGTCCAAAGATCTTGACTTCAGTTCCTGGCAAAGTTCTAGAATGCATCATCAAAGACGTGATTTGTGACCGTTTAGAAAGAGATTATTGCTAAAGTCTAGGGTAGCTTCTTCGAGAACGAATCATGACAGACTAACCATTTCCTTTTCCAATTAAGTTACTTGACTTGATCAGAGGAATACCATCGATGTAGCATACATGCTTCAGTAAGATGTCTAATAAAGTCTTTCATGTCTTTATAGATGAGATGGAGAGATATAGGCCAGATGATGGTACTGTCAAGTGGCTAGAAAAATGGTTAAATAAGCAGAACCAGTGTTTCCTCTACAAGGTCCTACTTCAATGTTTCATTATGGTTTTGAGATGATTCTAAATTTTTGAAGTCTATGCCAATAGAGGGTAAGCTCTGGAAGTTCCTACCATGGTGTAAAGGTTTTGAGGATGGTTCTGGCAACAGACCATGCCTACTTTCTGAGGACTAGCTTAGCTAAGTATGGAGAGACTCATGAACTTTTTGGCTATGAGAACCCACAAAACAAAGAAAAATACAAAATGATCACCCACAGTCCTGTGAGCATCTTTTAACATGGCAGTGTAGGAGAAAAGAGGATGCCAAGAATTAGTTTTATGACAATGTGCAAACATTAACTCATCCGTTGGTACATTACACGTAAGCTCCTCGTCCATTGACCAACAGGTGGAAATATTATAGGAGGAACCGAATTGTCAGTCTTGATATTCTCATTATCATTGAAACCTGAAGATGAAGGGAAGGGACAGGTGAAAAAGTATGGCTCACAGGTTCTCTTTAGAAAAGTGAATAAAGAAGTTGGTGGAGTTAGCTTTATTGTATGTGTCAAGGCAAGGAGAAACATATTAAAATGGGACATTTGGTCACCTTGTATTACAGTGCTTATAAAAAGTATGTGCAAAAAAGACCTTTGTGAAAATAATTGCAGCTCATATGCCAACATGGGCTGCAGAGAAGGAGAGAAAGAAATTCCAGGAAGAACTTGATAAAAACCCTCCAAATTAAATTAGCAAAGGCTTGAAAATAGGTGAATTCAAAGAAAGGTCAACATAGGGGAAGATAGTCAACCCTCCTCCCCAAAAAAACCCCAAACAAAACCAAAAAACCCCCAAGCAAACAGCTGATGATATGGTTCAGTATTAAGGAATGAGAAAGGCCAAAAAGTTGGTACAGATGACAACAAAGACATATCTGTAGACCCAGAAAACCATCCTGGAGAAAAGAAAGTGCTAGATAAGGAGACTATAATTAACAAAATAAAAAACTGATAAAGTTTCAAGATTGGAAATGATTCATTATTGCCATAACAGTCATTATTACTGTTGAGGTCAGATTTGGGAGACCTGTTCGGGAGTGAAAGAATTCACTTAGATGTTCTCTTTAGCCAGCAGAAGCTTTATTAAAAGTAAAAGCACACAGACCTATAGCAACAAGGCTAATTAAGGTGACTAGTATTTGGGGGAGCTAGGCTTATATAGCAAAATTCTGGCAGAAAGTCATACAGCCTATAGGTATTCCAGATTAGGATGTAGTTTTATGGTGGTTCAAGATAAGAAGGTACAGGATAAGGAAGACAGGAGGAATTTTATGGGACAGGATAAGGGAGACAGAAGACATTTTATGGTACTAGATAAGGAAGAGTTTTATGGTGTTTCAGGATAAGAGGAAAAGGACTTTAGGATGCTCTCAAGTTACAGAATGAGGCCCCTCCTGAGAGGGTACTGGAAAAGCAGTGCTTAATATTCTCTTTAACCCCTGGGATACCATATGCTGTATCTATATCATTTACTAAATGAGCTGTCTGTGTATGGTTAGACCACTAGTTTGTTAGGTCACAGATTAAAATAAATACAAAATTAAAAGAATAAAAAATGATGAGATATAACTTGTGAGTAAAACAATTCCAATCTGACCATTTTTTTTTTTTTAGGCAATTGGGGTTAAGTCACTTGTCCAGGGTCACACAGCTAGTAAGTGTCAAGTATTGGTTCTGAGGCTGGATTTGAACTCAGGTCCTCCTGACTTCAGGGCTGGTGCTCTATCCACTGCACCACCTAGCTGCTCCCCAATCTGACCTATTTAAACAAGTTACTGATGCCAAAAAAATGGGAAATGAATAGAGAAAAGAGCTTTGAAACAGATTATAACAATTTCTTGCAAAAACTTAACCAATGCAAATAAATCGCCACAAAATGGGACCAAAACAGTCTAGAGATGGCCTCACTCAGTGATTATTTTATCTCCTTGATAACCATAGAAATATGGTGGTCAAAGCAATGTGGTTAAGAATATAAACTCATTTGTACAATCTTACATGAACATTAGGAGCTGTATTGCCTCATAAAGGAGAGGAGCAGCAGAAGAAAAAGCAAATTTAAAGAAAGCTTGACAAAAAAGCCAATTAAACTAAGTCATTTCAAGGACATTTAAGGAAGATCAACAAAGAGATGAAAAATGGAGAAGATTTCCAAAGATTAAAAAAACAACAATCTCTTTTATCAAGGACAATAGAGTTCCCAAAGTTTGAACATCACTGTCTCAGATATTCCCATTTGTAAAGGCCAATGTCGTAATTTCATTAAATTCCAGAACGTTGTAGAGCTTCCTAAGTGAGATCCAGGATTCAAGAGTCTTATTTATTCACATGGGAAAACCCAAGTGTATTGATCAATCAAAAATAGCAAGCTGTTATTAAGAGCCTACTAGCTATCATCCTATGTCTTCTCTCTTTTTGTGACTAATTTCAATTGAACAAACTATCAATAATTAGCGCCTCTTCTCTTCTTCTAAACCCTTTGCAGTCTGGCTTCTGAGACTACTCTGAACTGTTCTGAAATTACACTGAGACTCCTCTCTCCAAAGTTACCAATGATTTCTTAATTGCCAAATATGATGGCCTTTTCTTAATCTTCATTCTACTTGATCTCTCTGCAGCAGCCTTTGATGCTACTCTCTTTTGGATACCTGCTCCTTTCTAGGTTTTCATGACACTGATCTTTCCTGGTTCTCTTTGTACCTATATGACTGGTCGTTCTCATTTTCCTTTGCTGGACCTTTCTCAAGGTCCTGCCAATTAACCTTGTCCCCCAGAGCTCCATCTTCTTCCTCTATATTACTTCACTT